TTATTCCAGTATAATTTTTTTCTCCGACCAGTTCGTGATATCCCCATTTTCTTTTTTGCGTTATTTTGTGTTTAATTTAGTTCTCATTTTTTTTCTTTGTGTCATTGATATATTGTTGTCAATATCATCGGAACAATTCCCATGCATAATGCGTAAAAAATGATGCAAGCAAATCAGTTGCTTGAAGCACTTACTCTATCTTAGATTCGAAAAACTCTGAGCAAGTGAAAATTGACCAAATCTCTTATCTGGTTGTGGTAGCACTATAAAGTTGCGAAATGATCGGTTTTTTCTGAACACTAATGTATGAAAGTTTCCTTTGTTATTTATGTTTCAAACTTGAATTTTTAATTTTGTCAGTAGAAGAATGTTTATAAGTTTGATTATCTTGAAGCACCTTATCTTATTTCAGGGCGCCTGGTTGAGTGGCATCCGAGAGGCGGCGAGAATAGCTGATATCTTCTTAGGATGTCCCTTCTCAGCATCAAGTGCTGCTGACCCAGAGTGTGTTCTGCTCGACAGTGATGATGATGTGGAAATGGTAGACAGTAGTACAGCAAACAGTGAAACGGCTGCTGCTCCTGTGGAACAACCTACCGCTGGTGCGGAACAGCCTCCAACTGAAAAGGGGAAGGAAAATGGCGGTTCACACTCTGCGGATGTAGAAATGGATAACGGGGAGCCGGAGAGTAAGCGCCCAAAGAAAGAGGACTCTGACGAATGAAAAAGAAATCCTTCTTCAAATGTTGTTCATTCATCTTCTCCTCTATTGATGTCTAAATATAGATCTCATTGGTCATTTTGGCCACCTTCTGCTGCATAAGTTTCACTTATAACAATTGTTTCTTTTTCAGTAAAGTTTTGTATTGACTAAACATCCAGCGTCTTTAAGTAAGTTCATTTCTCGATGACTCCGCGCATCACAACATTTGGTAAGTGACGCGATTTTTCCTCTCATTGTTGTTGTTCCCTTGTCCTTTTTTGTCTTTTTAACATGGTCTTCGTTTCACTGTCTGATTGTAATACCACAACCAGCTTCAAATCCAGATTGTTCCATCTGAATAATTTTGGCAATCTGTTTTGAGATATTGGAATGTAAAGCTCAGCATTCGAAATTGGTTTTTTTAAACACTTTAAAGGAGAGAAGAGCAGTAAAAGTTTTTATACTCCTTTTTTCAAGTCTACTCGCGAAATGTGTTAGAAAACCCTTTTGCAAAATTAGGGTCAACGTAAGAAACGGGTTCTTTTTACGAGAAATCTTCTAAGAATTCGTCAAGCTAGCTATGACGTCGTATTTCTGAGAAGGAAACGAGCAGTTTAGGGCGAGGTCGCCGAAAATACGAGAACAATCGCCAACGTAGGACGTTGGGATGCAGAGGATCAGAGTTCAGCGCAACATGTATCGAAATGATACACACACAACGTGATTTACATCATGTAGACAAAACAATAACGTATAGATACAGAGATCAGTTAGGAGAGTATTTTTAATAAAATCAAGGTGTTTACGATTGCTATTATGGTAAACATGCATGGTAAAGTTCAGATTTGATCACTAGAAGGTGAACGATGGCTCGCTTAAGTTTAACGCATTTTGCAATTGCAAACAATTGGATCCTTAAATAGATTACGGCATCAGAACTCACATCACTTTCTTGCAATGTTGTACTTGAGTTATGATGTAAATTTAAGAAAGGAAGCTG